ACCAAAATTCTATATTGAACTAGCATTCAAATGCATGGATGCTAATCCAGATAAACGTCCAACTGCTAAAGAAATTTATAAGATTATTTATGGTTGGGATTATCACTATGAGTCAGATGATATATATGAATCAATTAAAAAAGAATTTAAGAAAATGGATGAAATAAAATTTGATCCTTCAACAATCACTACAACAATTCATCCAAATGCAGTTTATACTAGCAGATTATTAAATTTTACAAATCTTCCCCAACCTGTGAATTCCAATAAAGTAACAATTATTAGTAATAATAATGGTAGTTATCATTAATTATTCAATCATTGATTTTAAAACTTAGTATCAATATTAACATTATGATGTTATAAATTATAGATTCTCATCTAATGGATATAAATATTTTAGATTAATTTGATTATTTATATTTAATAATGATATTATATAAAGGTAATAACTTCTCACAATGATCATATCTTTGATTTTTCTTTTCATTTTGAAATTTGGATGTCAAATATGCACACAAATAATTTTTTGATAAAAAAATAAATATAATTTTTAATAATCATATATAATTGCAGTATTATTTATTTTTTTACCTTTTCAAATCAATATTTTCATCTCTTATAGCATTAACAAGTTGAAGTGATGTATTATCAATATATCATATAATATATAATATATATATAAATAATTTATTAATATAAAAATTTTAAATTTAGTACAATGTATCTGAATGATTTAAATATAATAAAAATTATACCTAAATTATCAAATAAAAAGCCCACATTTAATCATTTCAACTTGCTTGTTGAACTGTGAGAAACATCCATTTTGAACCACAACCTTACCATCAAATTTCCCCCCTTTTTAAAAAGAAATAAATGTGTAAACACATCCATCTGCACTACCGAAATATTCTGGAACAAGTTGTGGAAGGACCCTGGGATTGTGAATTAGGGCATTTCTTCAAGCTCCGAATGAGCTGAGCCGAGTTTATACTCAGCTCGAGCTCAAATATTCGAGTTCGAGCCAGCTCGAAATTTGTTACTATTTTTTTTTTATAAAATCACGCTTTTTCAAATCACCGAAAATAATCAGTAACTAAAAAAATTCTGAAAATTTTAAAAAATCCAAATGAGAGATTCCATGTTTTAACAATATTTGTACTTCTAATAAAAAACGTTTTTAGGTTCTGACATATATGCATACAGTCAAAAAAAACCTTTGTTTGTTTTGTTCCTTTTGTTCGTTTTTGTTCCTTTTGTTCGTTTTGTTCGTTTTGTTCGTTTTTACTCGTTTTATTCATTTTGTTTGTTATTACTATTACCGCTGCTACGATTATTATTGTTATATCATTATTGTCTATATTAGTGATGTTAGCCAGTAGAAAAACCTTAGCCGGCTAAGCCGGCTAAGAACTTGAATAAATTTTTTATCTAATACAGTGCGGATCATCTATACTCAAAAGTTAAAATTTTTGAAATATTATGTGATCTACACATTGGATTTTAAAAAACTTGTCACCATTTAATTCAGCTTTAAAAGGGGAGCCTATTAGTCTAAAAAAAAAATTTGTCTCAAATTTTCTTTTCATAGATTTTTTAAATTTGAAAGTTATGCTCAGAAGTGCAACAA